CACACTCCCTCAAACACACACCAAGAGGCAAAAATAATAAGTAGGTACATATGTAGGCACATGAATTGTGAATATCCTTTAGAAAATCGTACAAAATACGGTAAGAAAATAATTTAGAAACTCCGTTCTGTCCGTATATAGGACAAGTTCTTAATTATTTTTCCAAGAAAAGTTACAAGTTTTAGAGATCTATTGTGAAGAAATTCTTATGTTTATGACCATGCCCCAAATAACTCATCTTGTTATTCTGATCAAGAATACAACCCTGTTTTCTTTCTCAAATATTCAGCAAAATGGCTTTTATCATTTAAACATTACTGAATGTGGGAGGCACGTAATTATCCATCTCATTACTACATTTGGGAAATTCAAAGGACAGATGGTAGCAAAAACTATAATGTATCGTCACCGTTTTCCAACCGATTTGAGAGACGCATTTTCAGAGTAAACTGGTTTGGAATGGAATGGTTGCTTTTTTTATACCCTGTACCCAAAGGGTACAAGGGTATATTAGTTTAGTGCGAGTGCACATGGAACACACAGAAGGAGGCTTGGTAGACCCCACAAAGTATATATATTCTTGATCAGCATGACAAGCCGAGTCGATATAGCCATGTCCGTCTGTCCGTCTGTCTGTCCGTCTGTCCGTCTGTCTGTCTGTATGAACGCAAGGATCTCCGAAAGTATAAGAGCTAGAATAACCAAACTTGGTATACAGATTCTCCTGAGACCGAGAAAGGACGAGTTTGTTCATTTTTTCTGATCCACCCCCCCACTCCCCCCCTATTAACGATTTTCTATAACTCCCGTAATTCTTGGAATTTTGAACTAAAATTTGGTAGTCACATTAGGTTAGTAATTATATACCCGTATACCAAGTCTCATTATGATAGAATGATCGGAAAGAAAGTTATAGCTATATAACCAGGCTCAATGCACACATACATACATATGTACAAGTACACAAACACGCATAGACACGATTCTGATGTAATTGTAAATGTATGTATGCATGAATGGAATATTTTATATTTAATTAGTTAATATTTGGTTAATTAATTACATTAATTTAGTTAATAAATTTAATTAAATTAATTAATTAATTTAATTACTTTTTTGTGGGGTGGTACAGGGTATTTAAGAGTTGAGCCTGCTCGACTTTAGCATTCCTTTCTTGTTTATTATTATCTTCTGGGATTGTCGATAAACCAGCAATGTCGTAAGATGCGAAAGAGCCAAGACGAAGCCAAAACAATCTTCATAAAACGTTTAAGGATTGGGAATTATATTTAATTAAAGCAATTCTGTTCTATGAAGTCGAGTTTTTAGCATTAGCATTAACATATTGACAAATAGAACACTTTCTGGTAATGGATAATGGTTTAAGCAAAACGACAATGTTTTGACACTATAATGCGCGCAGATAAACAGATACCATTGCTGGTTTTGTTCCCCACGTTGCCTCCGCATTTCAGAAGGAACAATTGAAATTGGAATGACAATTTAACAAAACGCAGATAAAAATACCACGCAGTTAGCCCATTAATGACGCACTTTCAAAAGGTGAACAACAATGGCAAGTAGGAAGCATATATGTACATACATATATGCAATATACACATGTATATATAGATAAAAACAAAGAATGATAAATATAAAGTTAGTTCGGAGGATTTTAACAATATTCAGAAAATTGAATTCTACAATACAAGAAACTTCAACATTCTATTATATTTGTATTAAGTCTATACCTAACCTTTCCCGGTCCCACTTCTCATCAGGGCATCGGCTGTTCGTTAACCTTGAGTCCTGAAATCTAACTTTACTTCCGCGAATAGGTCTTAGTTTATAGTTCAACTTTATACTGTTCGTATTTATTTGATCGAAATAAATCTTTAGTATGATATGCCTTTATTGTGAATATAAAAAACTTTTCTTTTTTGCGTTTTTGGTCTACAAATGCAAACTTGTCTGAATTGTATGAATTGTATTTGCATTTGTGTATGTGTATGTGTGACGTTGGCCGTCTGAACGGTCTAGTATTTCCAACTTCCTCAGCCGTTGGTGGCTTCGGCTTAGCAACCTCCCATGCACCTTATGGTCAAAAGTTCAAAACTGTTCGTTGCAAGGAGTCACCTCTACAACAAAAACATAATTCTTATTCTACACTCACACTGCTGCATTAACAACAGCAAACAGGTAAGGTGTGTGGTAGAAAAACGTCTGCCATAGTCCCTAAATTGATATAAAGTATTCACTCATACATCCTTCTATACCTCATGCGCATGGTTGTGTAGAAGTGCCGACAACCACTCTACCCATAAACACTCACTGTCATATACACAATTTACACACGATGGATCAGGCTCGCAGGCAAGCCTGGCCATCCAGTGGCAAGATTAATGGAAATAGCATGGGAAAATGAAATATGAAACGCTACGGTGCGCTGTTCATGTCTACGGTGGTGCTTGTTGGTGGTGGCGGTGGTGTAGACCAGCAAAGAGCGTTCGTTGACAACAACAACAATTGAGGCAATGATCGTCTCGTATGTATAAGAGGTAAGTTGGTTGTGTGGTTATATGACTGGTGGGGTGGCGTTGTCATCGCTGCAGGAGAGCTCCACCAAGACGCACGAAGAAGCACATGCCAGCCATGGGGCAATGTGCGAAGCGGAACTAATGGGCAAATTGATATTGTTACAACAATAAAAGTCACGATGTGAGTGTGCGTCATTGAGACGGAACAGTACAAAACGTCCACAAACTTAAAAACTTTATTCAAATAAAAAGGACGAGTATTTTATAGCTTAATAAAATTATATTCGCAACGTTTGATTGAAATCGACGAGTTGTGGTGATGAATGTGCTCTCAAGGATTTTTTTATTACATTAAATTAATTAAACATTTATTTCAACACTATGTTAACGTTTTTTACTTGCACAACATTAAGTAGTTGCGCTTGCTTGCACTTAGCGTTTGAAAATCAAACGCTGCTTCGCCAAAAATACATGTTTTAAGAGGTTCTACCTGATAATATGTATATAAATATATACACATCACGTATTGGTTAATAAAATCACTGAAGCAGCAATGCGGCACAAGTAAGCACAGGTTCGTTGGTTCGGTCGTTCGTCGCTCGTTTATTGTATTTTTCTGTGTTTTTGAACAATCGTTGAAAAACCAGTTTTATAGAATCCACAAAAAGTAAGTGCACAAAGGAGCAGACAACAGCAACAAAAGCAAATAATAAAATGGTAAAATCTGGCGGCTGCTTTGCTGAGTGCTCTCCGCAAACAGAGACCGAGACAAAACAAAGAACTGTTGCTGCAATAGTCAGACGGGTGAGCGGTGTAAGCTGTGCCCCGGCGACAGCCAGGAGAGGGAAGAGGCGAGTATGCGATCGCTTCTTTGCATTTATGATCATGTTTGGATGAAGGCCGTTCAAAGACTTTTTAGTCGCTCGTTGAGCTTTAAAAGTGACTGACACTGACGAGCTGCTAGCAATGGCGGTAAAACTGAACAGATTCGTCGCGATCAAGCGACAGATACGCGGAAGCGTCTAGAGTCTGGTACAGTGAGAAGCAATAACATGATTGGCATGGAGAGCAGAATAACATTACCAGCAACAATTTCGAAAGCTATTTTGTGCTATTGAACTTTTTAGCTTTTCAGTTTGAACTTTGCCGATGGATGCTATGAAGTGAAACTAAAGTTTGTGTCAAAAAAAAAAAAACACCGATTTGTGGCTAGTGGGTGTGAAAAGCCATTTTAAAAATTGTTGCCGTTTTCCTCCTTTTTTATATTGATTTATGCATAAAGTTTGTGTTTTTGTTTCCCCCCCAACTTGTGGAAGGCAATGAACTGACTGCGACGACAAAGAACCAGGGCGACGCCTTATACTTTTTAAAGGCAGGGAAATAAGATGCACGAGCTACAGCAGAAGAAAGAAAAGAAAAAGGAGACAAACAAAGCAAGTTTCGCTTTTCAGCAGCGACTCGGCCAACGATAACGGTACACTCTGTTGCCGAGAGCTTGGATGTTCGTTGTGTGCGTTTCTGTGGTGAATATGCGCGCAGCGACGTACAGAGTGTTGAAAAATTGTACATAGCAGCAAAGAGGCAGCTACCTGCAACAACAATCTCTAAAAGCAACAGAAGTAATCACAACACCGCGTTTTTAATGCATAAAATACGCGAAAAAAACACACAAAACTTTAAAATAAGGCCTTCCCCTCTTCTAATTGACACTTTAAAATGTCAAGCGGGGGGGAAAAAAAACGACATTCTTTGGTGGTGCGCAACAGCTGAAGGTAAAAATACTGAAAAGGAGGTAATATGAAAATAAAAAGAGGCAAAAACAGATAACAAAGCTGGTGAAGGTGGTGGCGCATCACGCGGGGCAGAAAGAAAAGCCTACAACAATGAGAAAATCGATTTTGCTTTCGTTAGTCAGCGAGTGAGTAACAAACTGTGGAATGAAAAGTTTTAGCCCCCCTTGAACAAAATATTCACTCCCCACCATTAAGCCACAAGAGCCCCACAAGGCGAATCAATTTGTTGTTGTTTTTATGGTGGCGCGTATTCGTTTTCTTCTTATTGGCTTGTTTCGCCGCTAGTTGGTTGGCCCGTCCATGGTCTGCGGTTAGCTCATTTGCCCGGAAATTAAAATTGCATTAATTTTGAAATTTAAGTGTTTTTATTTATGGTTATATATACACTATCCGACTGGGCGGCAGCAAAAAACCAGCAAGCCAATGAAACAGGAAGAAGGTGGTTGTTTATTTAATTTTTTAAGATACTTTTTTTTTCGCTTTCTGTTGCTGTGTAAAACAAGTGCACACAAGTACGTTAGTTTACTGGCGAAGGACACGCGCCTGCCTGCCGACTTCTGTCTGCCTTCCGCTGCCAAGGCCGAATAGCAACGCCATGAAGGTTTTCCCCACCGTTATCATTATATGGTTCATACATACGTATGTATGTATGTGTATGCGCAATACTCACATTTCAAGGGTCTCTGAAATATTCCCAAGTTTGCGCTGCAAAGAGAAAGGTGGAAAAATTATAAAGATTAGTCGAAGCGCTCCAAAACATACATATGTGTACAAATATAGTATATATGTAGCACGTTCAACCATGTTCACGTGTATCTTTAAAATGCATCTTAATATGCATTCATTAAATATGGATATATGTATGGGACAGGCCTATTCCAGGCACAAAAACATACACACATCTAACTATTTTGACCCAAATATTTAAAGCTTATTTATGTTTATTTTTAGAAAAATATTCAAATTATATAGCCATTGGAAAACATAAAAACAAAAGACATTGGGATAAGATAAACAAAAATCGTTTGCGTCAAAATGTTTCATTTATTTTCGGGTATGCATGGGAAATTTGTATTGGTATATAAGAAAATGTTTTTTAAGTAAGCCGCGGCACGAAAAGTTAGTTTGCCGGAACAAGTTTGTCTGATACAGTCGTATCTTAAAAAAAGGGGTACGTATAATTAATTAGCGCGGATGAATGTAACACCCATAAAGAGGCGTGGCATATCCCACAAGGTGTAAGTATTCTGGCTCAGTATGGCGGAGTCGACAAGGCCATGTCCCTCTAGATAAACTAGAAAGATCTCGGAAAGTATAAGAGCTTCTATAACCAAACTAGGTATTTATTTGTAGGGATGTTATAATTTGCATTTAACAATAAAATTAAACATTTGTTTAGAAATGGAATATTCAAGTGTAAAATAAAGAACAATAAGGAAGAGCATAGTTGACGGTTTAACAAATTTGGAACGACCTGCAGCTTAACATTCTGAATTATATTTATAATTTATAGAAATGCTGAGATTTCGGGACAGAACCGGATTGCATCGTTCAATGGTGTAAACAGTCAAAAGTCTAATAAATAAAGTGCCTTCTCGTTTGGGACCTGCCAAGATATCAATCCCATACGAGTATATAAAACTGAGGAGACAATAAAACAAGTTTGCTGTCTTAATATATTATGTTTCTCTCTTGACTAATGTGAAGATAATGTTTCGTTGCACACATTGTGGCAAAACCAAAAAAAGTTCCTCCGAAAGCAACTTCAGCTCACCCGATAAATCGCCAGGCCTTATAGAGAACGGGTAGCGAGAAGAGTAAGAACCGTTCAAGGGTAAAAGGACAACAACCAAAGATGCACTCTTTTTCCTCAACTGCTTGCTAATAATAAATCGATTCTCTGCCATTGCTGCTATTAATAAAAAAGGCTTTGTATTAAAGTGAATCAATAGGCACAGTAATACGTAAACAAATGCAGTACCTTTTTAAATGCAACGAAACATTTCGGAACAATCTATGGGTACAGTCTGCCAGGGCACGAATAAAACAAACAAACACAAATTGCATAACTTAAAAAGAAGGAATAATGGAAGAAAGAGCCTAACACAAGGCAGAAAATTAAGATTAGGGGATTTGGCACTAAATATAGCACTCGAAAACATTTCGAAAACAATAACAGAAGAGAGAACAAAATGATGACCGCAGAGAAGAAAAACGACAGCATTAAGCACACGAGCCTTAGTCGACGACGGTGATCGTGGCGGTTGATGGGCGTAGGCGGTGTCGACGAGTACGGGGGGCGGTTGTGGGTGCGCGCGACCTATAAACAGAACAACAAAAATTAAGGTCGCACACGCGTCAGCAACGACAACGCGATAAAGAATTGAATAAACGCCAAAACGAAAATGAATGAGAGCGTCACTCGCTCTTATCACTTATCGTTTATATAGAACTGGCAACAATTGAGAGTCGTAGTAAATAAAAGTTTAAATGAACTATATACATGTAAATACATACAATGTTTTTGATTAATTTGTTCTTTTTTTATTGGTTATATTGGGAATATATATATGTATATAACTTGTTTTGATACAAGTAAAAATTTGCTCAATTCAATTTTAATTAATTTTATTTAAATAATTTTTAGATATATGATTATAATTATAGAGAGGAATAAAATAAATACGTCATTTAATAAGACGTTGGTGACTTTAATGAAATAACCAAAATATACAAAAATTAGTCATCGTAAAACAGCTTAGAACGTTCCCAAGCATTCTACGTGTATTTTTGGAGCATTCACACTTGAAATAAGCTGTGTCATTAGTCAGCTCAAGGAGGACAAAAAAAGCACAGGAGATTTTAATCTGATTATTGCAGTAAGGACAAATAGGGCACAACAACAAAATATTAATATTGCAACGGTGATAGTCTTCACAGCCCAATTTTGAAATGATAGTTGATTATATATTACCCGCTATACAACAAGAAATTGAGCTACAAGGGAGACATATGTATCGTAATCATTTCAGGAAACAATTACAAAAAGTATTCATAATTTTGTAAAAGTTGTGTTTAGAAATTAACTTCATTACGATTATTTGTCTTTAGACAATTGCTTCAAAATTTGTTGGCAAAATAGCATTTTTAGCCACATTTATTATCTACATAAATATTCATGAAATGTTTCTTGTACAGACCATGAAACTGTAACTAGTATTAAGTAACTATGGTTTTCAATTCTATCAAATAATGTCAACATGTGCCAACCGCAAAAATTGAAACCAGCTTGTTTCAATTTGAACAGATGTTTTCCTTATGTGGATCACTTTTCTTCCTTGTGTAAACAACTGCTATTCACGTAGACTTAACAGCCAGCTGATTCACTTGTTTGCTTTTTCCTCTCTTTCCTCTCTTTCTCATTCTCTCTCTCTATCTCAGTTTCTCCTTAGATATTGAAAAAAACATGTTTATTTGTTGAACAAATCAAAATAATTAGCGCACAGTCGTTTTTGTTGTTATTATTCGCTTTAAATACAGAATGTGCAAATATCGCATTTGGTTAACATGCGCCAGCATCATGAGAGAATGTATGCATGCCTGTGTGAATTATTGTTATTGAAACTGATAATAAATCCACGACGAGGTGTAAAAATCTTCTGCTTATATATGTATGTATGCATGCACGTCAAAAACGTGTGACAGATAAGGCGTTAATAAAGGATGATAACAAACAGACACACACACACGTGTCGCCGTTTTTGAACAATACAATACGCCCACATATATGTATATATGGTGCAATATACATGGGTCTTGGATATGCATGGTTGTTAGATAGTGCTGTTGCTGTTAGAAAACAACAATTGTCACAAGGCAAGCTGCTGAGCTCTAGCCTGACCGTAAAATAAAAATGTCAGTGCTGACTCACCATGAAAATTTGCTAGTAATGCGAATTTGTCAACAAGATTAGTCACTGCAAAGTGGAAAACGAATCAGCCTTAGTCGATTCCATTGCAATCGATACTCTGCTGGCTATCGCTGATCAGTGTTGGTAAATGGTGCCAAGTAGCACAGCAGGCCAGCATTCAAATGGAAGTCGTTTTTACAATTGGACTTAAATCTATGTATGTACAAAATAATGTCAATTGTATTTGCATATAGAGTCAAAAAAGTTTGAGTGCGAGTGTGCTTGTATGTGTATACGCCCTCATGACGTGGTTTCCAAGGCATTTGACAAATACAAACAATGCGCCCACATAATGGCATATCTACGTTTAGAAATGCATACTCAGGCATACACATGCACAGCTGCTACCCCCGCTGATGCTGATAAGCAACTGTAGATAATTTTTGAACAAGAATTGAAAATCGGTAAAAGAAGCACAGAGAAACGCATGACTCATGCTGACAAATAGGTATATGTACATACATACATATATTTAATGCGGACAGTGTTATTACGGCTGAATATGCATATACATATTTATAATGCATGTACATATCAGTTATGTCCATGTTTATCAGCAATACCTTTCGTGCCAAAGAAAATAACAGAAATTAAGTCCAATTCTGCCAAAATAACATGAACAACTGCTGGCAACAATTTTTTGTTAGCGTGCCAAACCCCAAAGGCTAAACAGCTGCCACTGCTCACTACACTGTTCAAAAACATTTGCTGCCACACTTGTTCGTTCAGTTTAAAAATGTATATACCACCAGCTGTATAGTATATGTATGCTAATTAGAAATGAAGGCTGTGGCTTCAGAGTGGATGCATGGAAATTACTTTTTCCATATTATTTTTATATTATAACTTCCTAACTGCCTTGCGCATTTGTCATTTCATTTAGCTTTTGTTTTCTTTTTTGTCTACCAACAGCTATTTATTTATTTTTTTGACTTTCGCGCGACATGGCAACGCTGCTTGCGAGTGTCACTTTGCCTAAAAAAAGCAACACACACACGCAGTGCGTGTCTGCTGTGGTGAGCTCATATTCATTGTGGTGAATAAGTGCCGAAGCGCGACGTAGGCGAAATTGAAACAATTCCAAGGAAAAAGAAAAAAACATGAATTTAAAAATACATATGCATAGAACACTTACTTATTTAGATAGGTTTAAATTATTGCAATTATATTACTTTTAAAACAAAAACCCCAGTTTTGTTAAAATCACAGTTATATGTATATTTTTACGCTTGTTTCGTTCACAATTACTTCTCCGCTATTTCTACCTCACTTGTGTATTGCTCGCACAAGTATTGGTGGCTTTTAATTTGTTACTAATTATTAATAAACTTTTTCATATAAATTGCACAAAATTAACAGCAACGGGACTCGGACTCTTGTGTCTGGGGCGGTGCAGGAGGGGAAAAATATATCACAAATGTATGCACGACGCTTTCGTTTTAGTTAAAATTGCAACGAATTTAAGTTTTATGCAGCGAACGCACTTGACAACGACGACGACAATTTGACGGCGACGGCAGCAACGGAGTTAGCGCGACTACACACGCAAAAAAATGTTCAAACGATTACAGCTGCGTGCTGCGTTTCACTTGGAAACGACGTTTTCTTTACAACACTTTATTTTAATATTATTACAATTTATGCCAAATCAACACGATGCACACACACACACACACGAGTCAAGCGAAAGAGAGAGCGAGAGCGCGCGTATTGTATATTGTAACTAATGACTGTTGTTGTAGTTGGCGCAGAGCAAAACTCAACGTGTATTTGATCCTCCAAACTCGATGTGAAGTCTCCAAGCACTCGTTTCAAACTAAAACCGTATAATCAACTAAAATGAATGTTGCCTGTCAGTGCTCGGCAAAATCTTTGCTGACGTCGCTGCCGCAGCGCTGCTTATACCTCGTGTGTTGAATACACGCATACAAGAGAGCACGATAGCAGTTTCTTAACGGCCACTTGTTTCGAGTTATCTCCTACAACTCCGATTGAAATCCGTAAATATTTAACATTACTTTGTATGTGCATTTACATGTATGTACATTTGTATTCAATTATATTGATCTAAGATATTTTCATTTTAAAAATAAAATAAAAAATAATGCAAAATATACTAAATTATAAAATTTAGTTTTGGTTACTAATGCTTTGTAATGAGCTTCGTAAGCAAATATAAAAATAATAACATAAATATGGGTACATTCATACATATGTACATATGTATGTATATCATTTAAATTGAATTGAGCGACTTGACACAAACGTGTGTAGCGAAGAAGCAGTATTAAAAAGAAATCGCATTTCAAAGCAGCAGAGCAACACAGCGACAGAAAGACACACACACATACGTTCATTCATACATATGTATGCATGTGTGTGTAGTATATAAAATGTAGCTGCGAAGTAAAGCCAAACAACTTGACGTATGGTGAAAAAGTATTTAAGCAGCCAAGTAGGAAATACCCGATTGTATAGAAAATCTCAAGAAATTAAATATGTACACAACAACAAAGCATAGTTATAATATACTATAAATATATATGTATAATTAATATTTACTTATTAAAAGAAAAAATATATGCGTAGTACGCGAATGTGTTTGATTATAAAAAGCGAACAATGTTGAATAACAGCGACTGCGACGCGCTCGCACACATTCTCAAGATAAGCAGCGCCCCAAAATGAGTGCAAAGTGCAAACAATAAGAGAGAGCAAAAGACCAATGCAGAGCGAGAGCGAGTGTGCGACACGGCCACAACGCCACTGTCATATGACTATAGAGTCCAATAATTTATTATAATTGGAGTATTCAAGCAAAGTCATCAAATTCTTGTTATACATTGGGTTTTCATATATGTACATACATACATAAGTAGATACATTTGCAATAGACCGAGGATTTTTTTTTTGCGGACTGAACATTTTTCATTTAAGAAAACTACGACACAATCTTGGCGACGACGCCATATTGTAGTAGGCCCATACATATCCATATGTATGTATTTATATACACAAGCATGACGAGAGAGAGAGAGAGCGACAATTTGCGTCGACGTCCACAACGTTCACTGCGATGTCCGCGTCGCAGTCACTGTGTTGTTGCTTGTATCTGTTGTTGGCATTGCCATTGTATTTGTTGCTGCGTCATCAATACAAACTGCGCACTTTACTGAAAATTTTATTAATTTTATTACGTTGAAACTTTTAACGACAACCACACACTCAAAATACACGCAGTAATCACATACATACATACATGTTAAGGTTTATAAAAGCGCATGTTAATTTCTTCGAGTTTTGACATTTTCAATAACAGACGCATATTGTGAAATTGCGTCGTCGTACAGAGAAAAAGAGAGAGAGAGAGAGAGCAGTTCACAGGTTAAGCGCCCTGAGGCTGTGGTGAATTTAATACAGATTAGCAAAATGTAATTGTTGCTGTTTTACTACAGTGTACTCACGATCAATTTGAACTACATATGTATGTACATATGTACATTCATATGTACATCGTACATACTTAACATTATCATATATTCAGAAGTAAATACATCCATAAAATAAAAGCTATATACATATGTATACATGCATTCATACATATGTATGTATATTCATAAACATAAATGTGGATAAAAATGAACTTTTGTTATGCCTTGCTGTTTATTCACTAATTTCTACGACTTGAATGCGGTGGCAAGGTCGTTGGGCCTCTAGTGCTAGTTGGGTCGTAGCACTTGAAAAATTGAGATTTAATTTAGCTGTTCTTATAACCTTGTCGCACAATTATGATAAAAGTAAAAAAACAACAATAATAGTCGTGTTTGGCTTGGACAAGGTTACAGGGTAACATTAAAAAACTATGTACTTAAAATCATCGGTTAAAATTGTGTAAATAAAAAAGAGCATAGAAAACTGTTGATCCTCTCAAAAATGAAAATAATATACATATGTATGTATGTGTGTGTACATATACACCTATCTGTCACTATTTCCTGTTTCGTTTGCGGATCGAGAACAGACCGCAGTTGAGAGCAATACCTGCGAATTGGGAGAACAAGAGCAAAAAGGCAGCAGCGCACCTGCTTTTGCTACTAACGCTTACAGTTCAAACAAAACAATGTGTGTAATAGGTATGTATGAATAACACTTGCAAGTAGCTGGCCGTGCTCGAAACTTGCGCTTGAGTGTCTGCTATCCCTTGCTGTTTCGTGTAGGTTTTTGGCATTGGGTGACGCGATGGTAGACTAACAGATAACAGACGACAGACAGAATGAAAACATGGCAAAAAAGACAAAAAATTAGACAAAGACCAAAGCTGAGCGCAGACGTCAGTGTCGCTTCGCTGCTTCTGTTGCTTGCAGGGGTGTTTTTGTGGAGCAGAACCTCTGAGTGTGGTGAATATACCAGAATACACAGAATCCATCCATAGAAAGTGCAATAACATTTTATGAATTCTGCCAAAAGCAGCGACACCACCCGTAAATGTACATACTCAAATTTACATACACACATACATATGTACATACTCGTTAATGGCAAATGCACATTCCCCCCTACTCACAGCCACTAGCAAGCATTCAGAGAATTCATAATATGCGGCAGCATTTAAAAATGTATTAATGTACATACAAGTACTACACAATATAAGTTGTCTTAATGCTAATAAATATATTTTAGGAAATTCTGATTGAAATAAAATGATTGTTTGCATGAAAAACAAAATTTGTTAATCGTTTTTTTTTAAGTTTTTACTGACATTTATTTTTTGTTGGCGGCGAAACCTACTGTGTGCCATTCCTGTTTCCATGCAAGCTACATATAGGCGTCATATAGGCGTAGGCGATTTAGACTACATACTTTGTCTGTACGTCTGTATGAAAGCAAGGATCTTGAAAAGTATATGAGCTACAGCCGCCACGTCGGATTAAGGTCATGATTATGTTATAACACGTGTAATTTTTATGAAATTCCTTTTCAAATTGGAATCATATTCTAATACGTCAGTTAGTAGCAGCACTGGATCGAGGATTATGATGAACCTTTTGCCCACAAACATCGACAATTTTGCATATTTTGTTGGTCTACCTGTATATGTAGGTAGTAATTTAATTTATTTAATTAATTAAATAATCAATTAATTTAATTTAAATAATTTAATTAATTAAATGATCAATTAATTTAATTTTAATTATTTAATTAATTAAATAATCAATTAATTTAATTATTTAATTTTATTTTATAATCTGTATCTAAAATATACAAGAGAATATTAGGTGCGCGAGATGTGAACAAGAAAGGAATGCTAAAGTCGAGCAGGCTCAACTCTTAAATACCCTGTACCACCCCACAAAAAAGTAATTAAATTAATTAATTAATTAAATTTAATTAATTAACTAAATTAATTTAATTAATTAACTAAATTAAATATAAAATATTCCATGCATGCATACATACATTTACATTTACATCAGAATCGTGCCTTATGCGTGTTTGTGTACTTGTACATATGTATGTATTTGTGCATTGGGCCTGGTTATATGGCTATAACTTTCTTTCCGATCATTCTATCATAATGAGACTACGTTACGGTTACGGTATATAATAACGGTATACGGTTATATAATAACTAACCTAATGTGACTACCAAATTTTAGTTCAAAATTCCAAGAATTACGGGAGTTATAGAAAATCGTTAATAGGGGGGGAGTGGGGGGGTGGATCAGAAAAAATGAACAAACTCGTCCTTTCTCGGTCTCAGGAGAATCTGTATACCAAGTTTGGTTATTCTAGCTCTTATACTTTCGGAGATCCTTGCGTTCATACAGACAGACAGACGGACAGACGGACATGGCTATATCGACTCGGCTTGTCATGCTGATCAAGAATATATATACTTTGTGGGGTCTACCAAGCCTCCTTCTGTGTGTTCCATGTGCACTCGCACAAAACTAATATACCCTTGTACCCTTTTGGGTACAGGGTATAAAAAGTAGCACTCAGAAGGAGGCGTGGCAGACCCCACAAAGTATATATATTCATAATCAGCATGACAAGACGAGTCGGTCTAGCCCTATCTGTCTGCCCGTCCATGTGAACAACTGGAACTCAGAGACTATAAAACATAGAAAAACACTATGAACATAGATGTGTTCCCTCTATTGGGGATTTTCCGTAAGGTGGTTCGTATAATCACCTATGTATATCTCGGAGACTATAAGAGCAAAAGAAACCAATGCCTTATAGTATATGATTACGCAGAAAATGTGCAATTCAGAGTTTTCATCCGTAATTTTCGAAATGTTTGTTTTTAATTCGGCAGATACCTTCAGATAGTGGTTATGTGTCCGTGTGTCAATTTCATCGTGATTTTAAAGGAAGTTATAGCCATTAATGAAATCTCTGTCCATGCTCTGTCTGCAGCTGTTGTTGTTGTTCCTGCTTTGGCTGCGTACATGCTCACACACAGCCACGCATAGTCATAGGTACATAGGTACAGGTACAGTACCATCGGAATCGGTGGTGTGTATTGTATTTAGTAAGTGCGGGCCCTACTTTTTGGACCTTTAGACCTTTTAGTTCGCATTAGACCAACACCTAGAGGGGAAAAAACATATCTGCTTTGTGCATATTTTCTACATTATATTCAAATGTTGGTAAATAAATGTACATATTTTTGCGTTTAACTGGCCAAAATGCGACGCAATTTAAAGCCACATCGAGCTGCGCACTGCGCTTTTGTTTTTTGTGTGGCGTCAAGACAAAAGGCCGTCAAAACAATGCGTAAAAAAAGAGAGATGAGGATGCAGTGCATTAATGTACATATGTATATTTGTATATGTGAGTGGACACGGGGCATGTATGTATGAATATGTGCAAATGGATACAAGGTTGTCTAAAGAAAAGTGAGTGAGGCTTGTGTGTTTTAAAGTGTACTACATTCCTTAAGAATTCTTATAATATGTACATATATGTATGTATGAATGTATTTGTTTTAGCATGTGCTTGAAGCACCAGGTTTCAATATCCAATGTCAGCCAAATTGAGAGCAATTTAGACAACTCAAGAAAATTTTACAGCAACATAAGGCAAAATACATGCATAGTATGCACACATGTTTTTGCATACAAACATACATACATACATACATATATACAATGTATGGTGTATATGCGCTTCGTATGCACAATTGGTTCGAGTATTTTTGGCACGCACTTACACACATGCACAAGGGCGTACGCAGGGGGCCCATTTCACCTCCTACAAAAAATTTGGCCATATAAAGTCGACCGCACGTTCATTATTATGACGCACTATTTCGCCTTAAAATGAAACTGAGTTGGATTTGTTGAAGTTTTTCATTGATCATATGCATAAATTATTTTTTAAATGCATCGTGCATTGTTTAATCAACATTTTAGTGTTTTGGCCGCCCCCTTTTTTGAAAGCTGCGTCCGCCCTTGCACATGCACAGATACATATGTATATATGTATGTATGTATGTATTTGTTTTCCATGCATGCATGCATACATACATATGCATTTATCCTTTGGCTTCGGTTTCGTGCATTCAACTTTCAGCCGGCTGTGAGACAGGTGCGTGATATGCAGGCAGCGGCATTTACCGTTGCGAAACGATCATCAGCTGTGCGAGCGCCTGGGACAGAGTAAGCGAATGAGCGAGTAAATTTAAAGCAGGGAGCAGGAGAGAGCGATCAATTTTATGTGAAAGCAATCACTGTTGCCAAGGTCCTGTACAAGTTATACATATGCATACATACATGTGTACATATGTGTGCGTGTATCAATATGGGGGAAGAGGGCGACGTGCACTTTGTTGAACTTTCAAATTGCGTAGCGAAATGAGCGCAGCAAAACAAACTGCGTCGAAAGTTGCGACTGCGACGTTAGCGTCGACTGTTGCGCATGGAAACGTAACGAAATGAGGGAAAAAACGCAAATTGCATGCTGTTTGCAATTGCTGTTGTTTATACATACATACATACATACATACATACATACATACATACATACATATGTACATATCCATACACAAAGGGTAAAAAGTTATGATAGTTTAGTGCAATGTACATACATACATACATACATATGTATATCACACTGAAGGAGGCTTGGCAGACCTCACAAAATATATACATATGTACATACATACATATGTATGTAGTATATTCTTGATTAGCATGATAAGTCGAGTTTATATAGCCATGTCCGTCCGCCTGTCAGTATGAACGCAGAGATCTCGGAAAGCATATGTACATACATACATATGTATGTATATATTTTTTTGAAATTGCGTATAGGGACTCAGACTTTCGGGGTAGCTGGCTGCCCTGGCGATGTTGTTGTTTAGAGATATGGCAACAGCGCATGCCACAAATTGCGTTCTAAGTGAGACAACAGCAAAGAACAATAACATTTGATGAGCACTTTGCTCATACGAGTGTACATGTGTATGCACGTGAATATGTACATATATACATATGTATGTATGCATGTATGAACATGTTTTTATTTGTTTGTATTGTTTCAGAGTGCATTCCAATTGTAATTGATCGAATTATAGTTATAGAATTAAAATGAATTTGAACAACAAACAAAAGCAACGATTACAACAATAGCAACAACCGAAGACGTATTGAGGAAGTAACTCGGAAGAAAGTGAAAAACAAGAACAAAGAAAATACGAGAGCGCCAAGGAAAATCTGCAAGGAACAGCTCAGCAGCCAGACATGCGGTCAGCTCACCAATAACCTTACCCCTGGCATAATCATTTTTTGTTGGCTCAGACTTGGACGCCGTCGTCAACGCCAGCGTCAGCGTCGCTGCAAACGTCGGATGAATGATTAACAAAAACAGTTGATTGAACTTTGTTTGGCCTCCAAAGTATAAGTGTATTGGTCTGCGCCGTCTGTGTGAACGTGTATTCAAATATGTGTACAAGTGTCCATACATATACAATGTATATGTTTATCTGTGTGTGTACTTAAACTGCCCCACTTTGGCGCGCGCTGCTCATAATTTCGGGTGTTGATGTTAATGACCAGGCAGCGAACGCTGCGTCCAACAATAAGACAGCTAATTATTTTTTCTCATTGTGCGTCTCTCTGCCTGCTCAAAGCAAATGAACTCCAACGGCCTTTTGTTGTTGACCCTGCCTTGTGTTACGACAAAGTATTCTGATTGGAGGTGGTGAGTAATGAGAAGGGTGGTAAGTTTCTTGTAGAATATGCATTTTATTTTAGGATATGCGGAAATAAAGACCAAAAATTGATTCTTAGCATTTATGTAAAAGCTGTCAAGTTTTATATTTAATATTATCTAATATGTTATTGCATTAAATACCAAAATTAAATGCCAATAACCCTACTCTTAATAGGAGAGAACGCTACAGTCGAGCAAGCCCGACAATGAAATATCCCTTACCTAGAAAAACTTCCGGCACTGAGTTATATCGCCCACTGCGGAAGCCACAAAAAAATGAGCGAACTTGATGCTGCAATTGGGGTAGTACTGGACTGAAATTTTTTACTAACTATTGTTTTTAGGATTGACCGTTTTGGCTGAAATTGAAAACAAAAGTAGATAAATGCAACCTTAGGCCTGCACGTGCAAAAAAAAATTGGCGACTCAAAAAGATAATTTAATAAATAAGTAATTAAAACATTGTTATTTATTCTTTTTCTTTCGTATTTGGAGTGTGTTAGGAATGTGAGAAACACTTTTTTACCTTTTTCTTAGTAATCCTTCAAAATTGGCCAAGCAAAATATTCCTCGACTCTTAATAGACATGTATATGTATCTATATATATACCATATATACCTGCATGCATATCCAATGTAATTTTAACCTTAATAAAAAGGTTCTTCTTTACATCAAAGATTGCAATTAGTCGATTTCAAAATCTGTGAACACTTTTAATGCAATAATAATCAAATTGCAATACTCTTTCAATAATATATGGTACTTGTAGATCTTAAAATATATGTTTTATGTAGTAGAGTTTTTTAAACAATGCAATGAGGAAATAAATGCAGCGTTCAGTGTTACTTTTGTGTATAGAAACCCAAAAATTCGTTTCTTGACTAATAAAACTTTTGTTTGACAGTCGGGATTATTTTATCGGGCCAACATATTTCAGTCAAATTAAAAATAAAGTCAGCATATAATTTTATGGGTTTTCTTATTGCGTTATATTTTTTATTAAATAGCTTCATTTTTGTATAAAAACGTGTCATAGTTTAACGATATGTCGAAAAGGTAGAGATTCTTTTCAATTCACTACAAACAGTTCGCAGTGCAATCAATAAAAAAATGTAGAGTGGACGGCAAAGGGTACGGAGATGTCTTAAAAACTAAGCAGATTCGTGTACAAATTTGCGTTTGGAGCATATTTCGAGAAATGCGTGGATGTGTGTGTGTACTTATACATGAAGTAGTTATCTTTAAAACTCCTAAGGCACTAACTGGTGGATTGTGTTTACAAAAATGGAATGTATAAACAAAATATAATATAAAGCGCGATGCTTTTGCAACGTTTGGACGGAGTTGGTTGTGCAGAATTTCGTTGTGAAGTTTCTGAACACAAGGGCGTGCTCGACTAGCCCACGGGCATAGTGGAGACCGTGCTGTGCGGCGTCGTGGGACGCGAACCTGCCAAAGAGTTCGCCGTGGACGCATGCAACGAAGCCATTGTGCCCATCTGTGAAAGTCCATAGAATAGATACAAATACAAATTTTCACAAGCGTAGAGTATTATCTTACGCGTAGGTGTGCCAAATCCTCCAGCTTAGTCAGATCCACTAGCTCCAGGTAAAGCGAATAGATCACGGCCCAGCCATAGATGCAGACGAGGCAAAAGACTGTCCAGAGCAGCACCATAAGGACATTGTAGGCAAAGTATAGATCGTTGACAATGGCGAAGAAGATCAGCGCCAAGGCGCGCCAAATTGTGAAGACGGCAAAGGTCCACAGCCAGGGCATCACCTTACGTTCGTATTCCTGCAGACGGGCAACAAGAAAAACAAATGAAATATTACGGAACAATGGTGTTTTGTAATGCCAATAGCTTAGGAAAGCAGGTGCTAATTTTTTTTGTGGCAGTGGTGAGATGATGAAGCGCACACTAATAAATAACTAAGATGCTTTGTTACCCTTCGGCCTAGTAAACGTTTCTGTGCTCCGAGTTTTTCTTGCTTTTTTAGGCATGAGAAATGAGAGTGTAATGTGTATAGCGAGTTTCCGAATACAATTTTCTTACCTTGCGCAAAGCCACGACCAGCAAAACGCTGGTCACAAAGTTTATTAGCGCCATAATAAGGGAGAACAGAGCGAATACAATCAGCATATTTCGAACTGCAAGCGATGAAAGGTCAATGCAGATGTCAGCTATCGTTATATACAAATAATCAGTTACCGTGCTTGTTGCCGACATAAACAAATTCATATGATATTATGTAGTAACCATAATGAGTGGAGCCTGGCGCGGCCATGGCGTAGCAGTACATGTCGAAGATCGAAGTACCAATGGTGAAAAGTGAGAGGAACTGCAAAAAGCGTGTATTGATTACTATTGGTGTGTAATTGAAAAATGTCGGCTTACAATGGCAAATAGGCCGATCAGCATGGCACTTTTTTGTATATCTATGTACTGGTTGTTCTTTAGCAACGGACGTTGGTACCATGGAATACGCACGGAGCGCGTGGAGCGCGATTTTATGGAATGCAGATTCGTCGAGGACCTGTAGGCAATATATATAAATTTTTATTTTTTTTGTTTTTACACATTTGATCCATATCATACACACCTGCCCGTGGCATGAGAATACATCGATGGATTCGAGCGATATGTCGAAGGCGTTTTCCGTCCATAATTCATCCTGAAGCCTTGCAAGTGACGTCACTTGTTGAATAACTTAGAATAGTAAATGCAGGAAATAACTGTAAAGATAATAAAAACGATTCTTCAGAAAATGAAATTGCAGACTATTTTATCTGTTGTTTGCAGCAGCAGGGCGTGTTTGCTTAATTTGTTAGTTTGGGTGTGGTACGCAGAGTAAGCTCAGCTTGGAGTGCAAGGTGGCAAATCAGATTGGGTTCATATTCCGTTAAACAAAGCCATCCCCTTGATATTCAGACAACACATTAGCCCTGCGAATTTACAATTATCTTTTATTTATTCACTTTTTATGTTATTTACCAACTAAAAAACTAAAGTTTGGTCGCTTTGCAACAAAAACAATACACTGAATCACAAAAGTGCTGCCTAGTCGCTTACAAACACCAGCGTCGCTTCGAAATAATAGCACTGCTGCGCAACAAGTGTATCGATTACATGGCTAACAATCGATGTAATGGGCAAACAGCTGTTTGTTGCTTGTTCGCAGTGACTGCCAACTCCAATTGCATTTGTTTTGGTTTTTATAGGTAACAACAATTGCGTAAAAGAACTCAATTTTCTAAATCAATGGATATTTATGAGCTTTAAAATGTCACTGCCGCGTATAACAGACTTTGATATACTCGAAAAACTCGGCGTCGGCAGCTATGCAACTGTATACAAGGCAAGACACAAAGTAAGAATTTGGATTGTGGATGGTTAAGTATTTGCCGTCTTAGCTAATTTATCTTGCAATTATAGAAGCAACGCAGCTATCACGCTATCAAATACGTAGAAATGTCCACGTTGTCGCAAAGCTCTCGAGAAAATCTGATAACGGAAATTCGACTACTGCGGGATCTTAAACATAAATACATTGTGACGCTGCAAGACTTCTTCTGGGACGATAAGTGAGTGCAGTTAATATTTATTAATATTTATTAAACTGGAGCTCAAATTTGTTACAGAAACATCTACATAGTGCTGGAGTACTGCAATGCCGGCAGTCTGTCTGCCTTCATACGCACCAAGAAAGCACTGCCGGAACCGACGGTTCGTTACTTCCTTCGCCAGCTGGCTGCAGCTGTTCAATATATGCGAGCCAACGATGTGTGCCACTTCGATCTAAAACCGCAGAACTTGCTTCTGACTCGGAGTTCACACAATGTTTCCCTTAAGGTCGCTGATTTCGGGTACGTTTGTTAAATTATATATGTATGTATTTTTGGCATAGGCTAAGATCGATTTGTCTCACAGCTTTGCGCAGCACTTGAAACTGGGCGAAATAAACCAGCAGCTGAAGGGCTCACCGCTCTACATGGCGCCTGAAATCGTGCGCAAGCATCAGTACGACGCAAGAGCGGATCTCTGGAGCATAGGCGTCATACTCTATGAATGTTTGTTTGGAAAGGCGCCATATAGGTAATGGGGAGAGAGAAATGTTCTCTTTTTTGATGTTTTTCATGTTTCTTGTTTACTGCAGCTCTAAGACAATCGAGGAACTTCTACTGCGCATACGTAGTGCGGAACCCATCAAATTGCCGCCAAACGCGAGCATTAGCAACGAGTGCCACGACCTGCTTCGTCGCCTCCTTGCACACGAGCCGGCTGAGCGCATATCGTTTGCAGACTTCTTTGCGCATCCATTTCTAGATCTCAAAACATTCCCTACCGAACAGGTGAGTTACAGCTTTTACAGTACCCAAACGCAGAGATCTATGCTTCCTAAATTTTAACATACCGAATCAGTAGGTAATAGATTTATTTCAGTGAAGTCAGGCACGTAAGGTCTATATAGCTGTTTTGGTTAAAAACATTTCGATGAACGACATCGTCTGCGTGATCGTAAATATATGTACATACATATATACCACATTCTGGTTGCTTGAGCTTGCACACCAAAAGCAATTTACACTTTCATTTTCACTTTACAAAGAAGGTTAATCTAGGGTTTAGTGTAGTGGTTTTACGTTATTCTTGACAAAAGCTATATCTTAGATTGTACATCTCCCATGAGTTTTATTATTATTCTTACACTTGCAGACGCTGAAAAAAGCCATTGATTTGGTTACCCAGGCCGTGGGCTATGATGAGCAGCATAACTACAAGGAGGCCTATTACTTATATTGTAGTGCCCTGCAGTATTTTGTACCGCTTATTACGGAGGAAAATGATGCTAGCAAGCGGCAGGCCTTGCGTAATCGCGCCTTGACCTATATGAAGCGTGCAGAGGAGATAAAGAATGTAATCATTGAGGATGAATACAAGCGGCTGGGCCAGCAGCAGCACCACAAGAACCATCCCCAACAGACGGGCAAACCAGTAGCATCGCAGCCAGCAGAGGCCTCCCCGCAGCCAAGCACTTCACGGATGGCTGAGATGCTTGAACCTGATGCCCGCTATAAACAGCTATGTATGCACTCATGGAGTTGTCTGTGTTAGCCGATTTAATGTGTTTTAAATTGTGGTTTTAGTTGCCTTGTCACACTCTAGTCCGACGCTAAAAACAGGTCTCGAAATTGGACGTCAAGGCGAGCTTTACTTGTACGAGCGAAAGCTAGATGCTGCTCTGGACGCTTACACCTCGGCGCTTGGCATGCTAGTGCCCTTTGTCAATAATGAACCAAAGGGCGAGCGCCGCAATTTGCTGTTGCAACAGGTGAGTGCAGGAAATCAGGCCCAGTCACCCGCCTAGTCAAGTTTTTCAATATTATTTATAATTCACTGCAGCTTGAATTTTGGATAAAGGAAGCGGAAAGCATCAAGAGCATTCTAAGCGCAAAGAATTTGGACGAGGAGGAGCAGAAACTGTCCACGGTACGCAGCTGCAGCATTCAGTAGAGAGTAGGAAGTAGACAGTACAGACATTGTAACATTTGGCGATGGCGCCTGGCGCGTCCCATAGAGCATGTATTTTGGTAGCATTTAGACGTACATAACAAATTTACTAGTTTTTTAGAATACCTACTCTGAACGGCAGAGGCTGCAGCATAACTGTGCATCTTTTTCCAGGTTTTTTTGAAAAATTGCCACCTTAAAAAAGCCAACACGCTTCTACCGCTGAGTGTAAATAACAAATTGTCGATCTCGGACAGAAATATGCGTAAATTATATATTCAATATTTCCGAAGTACCATTCAACATTCGGGTTTTTTTAATAATCCGATTTAACCAATAATATTCCAACAATATTCAGTTTAAATGAAATCAGTATATACATATGCATACGCTTCAGAGCGGACAGTATCGGACCTTTATTTCATATTACAGTCAAAGGGAAAAGTTTTCTTGCCTTAAAAATGTTGTTGCTAGAGCAACAATGCGTAAAAACATTAAAAGGTTTTATAGCTTTTCTAAAGTCAAAGAGTTATTCTTATTTATTGTAATTTACTAAAGTTAAATACGTAAATTATTTGTTTAAAATATGAATTCTTAAGTGGAATCAAAATTGTTTACGATTTTAATATGAACTGAGCACACAGCAAAGTTTGTGTTTTCGAACATAGTCAGTACATTTTAGGGTTACAATTAATTTATTTTACATAATACTACATACCAGTATCTGTCGAGAAATCGGTCATTGTCATAAAATATTTATTGCTGTGACTCTATTGGTATCTAATATTTGTGTTAAAATGCTATTATTTGATTATTTTGAAAGTAATTACTGGCCTTATTTGTAAATAACCAAATACTTTTATATGATAAGCAAGCAAAGGCTTGGACATGAAATCGAAAAGGTCTGGTGTGGGATTAAACTAATAAATTATTTTGGTTACCGACGGCAATAGAAGATAAAAACTAACAGGGAATTTTCATTTTATGGTACACCGATAACATGAATAGGATTTCCCCACATTCCAAATCTGTTTCGGTATCAAACATAATAGGTTAGTCACTCAAAACTCAAATATTTTATTTATGCAGCGCATTTCTTAAAATTTAAGTCGATTTTGTAAAACCAGACGATTGAGAATGCAAAACTTAATTTAAAGCTGCGAAGCTGCAAGGACTAGGGATTTTGCAAAAATGATTGCTATTGCGTTGTAAACTGTTCTTTGTTAGTTCTGCTTCCATTTATGTAAGTACTATTATCCATTGTTATAATTATGTTAGTTGTGTACGAAATTTCTATTTGAGATCAACGAGACCTTTTGTACTAATGTCTATTTACGATGCTTTTATAGTGCAAAGTTTTCAACTAAGTTGTAGCGGTAGCGTGTGAAATTTAAAGCAATTTTTGTATACTAATACATTTAAAAGACATACCTTGAGCCTGTTAACCTGTGCAACATTTGTTAACCTGTTAAACTACCAGTATTTGTTAGTCTAAGCAATTCACCAAGACAATTGTTATGCATTTTTTATTTTCAATTAATTTTTTTATTTTAAGCGATGCACGCTTAAGATACTCCCAGTCTTGCCGCCTTTCCGGAGCACGGCCATGCAACTACACATTTATTTGTTTCTGTGCATAGTTCTTAATTTGATTAAAATTGTTTAATAGAAATTTATGGGCGCAGCCCGGTGGCGTTTGTTGTTTAACTGTAAATTTAGGGACCAAATCCCTATATGTACTCAAAATCTGAGCAGCTGAGCAGGCCCCATGCCTAAGCAGTGAAATCATAATACGCTATCACTGGCCATAAATTCGCAACTTTATCAATAAAGCGGGCGCAGTTTGGCCCCAGCTATTTAAGTTGCCTCCGTAGCAGACTGTAACCAGTGGACTATAGCATTCAACAGATTCGACATGTCTAAGCTACAAGTGGTGCTGTTTCTTGGCGCATTTCTCGTCGCCACCGTCAGCTGTGCTCCGTCCATACCCATTGGTCGCGTGGTGAATGGCACCGACTCCGATGTCCACCGCTATCCCTTCGTGGTAAGTAATCGAATTGTTAATGCAGAGAAGAAAAAGAGAAGGAAAAAGGTGCTTGTGCGATTGGTGGAAAAGTGCTGCTCACCATGCTGTGAGCCGATGGCGACCCAGACTTCTTCATCTGCTCTTTGAATTGGAACTATCATAGCATAAAGACGCAACAATATAATCGTCATAAAAACAAATAGAAAAGCTGAAGTGGGGTGCCCCGACTTTCAAATACTCTGCACTCTGTCTATGCGTGTCAGTGAGCAGATATGCAGTGCAAAGGCAACAACAACTGCGGGCAGCGTTTGGGCAGAGACTACATTTATGGCTATAACTTCCTTTCAAATTGACCTATCATAATGAATCTTGGCATACGAGCACATATTCACTTGTTGAAGTTATTTGCTGAATCAAGAATTCTTAGAATTATGGGAGTTACAGAAAATCACTCAATTGCTGTTGAAAGGGGGGAGGGAGGGAAATTCTCAAATACACATTTTCTGCGTTTTCACATAATGCATCTTGGAATCAAATTTGGAGTACATAAGTTTTATAGTCTCCGAGGCATAGGTAAGTATACCAACAGCGTTACGGAAATCCCCCATTTCTGGGATTGGCGGGGATCAAGAAAATAAAAGCGGCTCTCTGCACACAACAACACTCTGCACATAAACTTACTGGACAGCACCAGAGGCGTCTCAAGAGGACTCATCCCCTCGACCCCCCCTTTCGCACTCATTAGCTAGCGTGGCCTTGCATAGCTCAACGAGCCTGTTGACTCACGTCACAACTATCATGACAAAACGCATAATTGAACAAATTTCAAAATTTCAATTTGTGCAACATTTTATGTGTCTACCTCTTATAGTCCCTGAGATCTAGGAACACCTAGATACGGACAGACAGATAGGGCTAGATCGACTTATTTTTCACCTCCCGCAAACCCAATGTACTCTTGTACATTTCATGTATAGAGTATAAAAATCGATCGGAAGTATATTAGTAATTGATGCATTTATGCCATTTGCAAAGATTTCACTGCGTGGCGCCACGGGCTCCCATTCCTGCGGCGGCTCGATTGTATCCCCTAAATTTGTACTGACGGCTGCACACTGTGTGAACGGCCGCAAGGCTGCGGATTTGTCCATACAGTATGGCGTTACCCAGATAAATGCCAAAGGACCAAATGTGGTGGCCGCCAAGCGCATCATTCAACACGAGCTGTACAATCCGGCCGCGAACTATGTGAACGACATTGCACTCATCGAGGTGGCTGAACCCATTGTCTTTGACTATGAGACGGTGGCTCCAGTGACCCTGCCACCGCTTAACTTCGAGACACCGCAAACGCCAGAAGGTGGGGAAGGTGTGCTCATCGGCTGGGGCTTAAATGCGGTAAGTGTGGCTTTAGTTGATGGCTAAGCAGTGTAAAAACGATTCGGATTCTGCACAGACTTCAGGGTCCATTCAAACCACACTTCAGGAGGTGAACTTGAAGGTCTACTCGGATGACGAATGCGTGGAGAGACACAGCGGTAGAACCAATCCCAGTAGCCATATTTGCGGTGGTGTCGATGAGGGGGGCAAGGGCCAGTGCAGCGGCGATTCGGGTGGTCCCCTCATCTACGATGGCCAACAGGTGGGCATTGTGTCCTGGAGCATTAAGCCCTGTACCGTGGCACCCTATCCAGGTGTTTACTGCAAGGTATCAGCCTACACAGATTGGATTATCAACAATCAGATTACACTGGCATAGATCATAGTTGGAACAATAAAAATACGTACATAACCAAACTGCCATTCTGTTTATTTTAAAGGAGAGAGAAAGCCAATGATCGCTTTTCAGAAGTGTTTACAAATAATGAAATGTTTAACTGAAATAATTCGAAATGCTCAAACATTTGTCAAAACCAGTCAGCCGTTCTATTTAAAGAGATCGATATGTGCCTTTATCCAAAGCCGCCCAAAGAGAGTGAAATAATACAAAATTACCTCAGCAATGCTCTCGTATTTCAAATCACTTATCAGACAAAATTCATATACGAGTACAGTGATTTCTAGTAGAAATCAAACCGTAGGGTAAAAAGGGTATATTAGGTTTGTGCAAAGTATGTAACATACAGAAGGAAGCATCTCCGACCCCATAAAGTATATATATTCTTGATCAGCATGACGACAGAAATCGATCTAGACATGTCCGTCCGTCTGTCCGTCCGTCTGTCCGTCTGGATGAACGCAAGGATCTCAGAAACTATAAAAGCTGGAATAACCAAAGTTGGCATCCAGATTCTCCTAGGTCCGAGTAAGGACGAGTTTATTTTATTTTTTTTAAATTTTCCCCCCCTTCCCCCGCTACAGAATTTCGTCAATAGCGTCCACATTTCAAATGCTACCTAAACCAAACTTTGCACACATAATTTATATATAATTGTCTATTGTTGTTCAAAATTTTATTCAATTCGGTCAATTTTAAGAAAAGTTATTAGCATAACAAATTCTCGCCAGTACAACCCCACCAAACTGCAGCAACAAGTTCGCTCTTCTTCTTCCTCTTTTTGCTGCTGCTATAGGCGCATATAACTCAGTGACGCAAGTTTACCTGGGTACAGGGTATTACACTGTCGGGCTTGCTCGACTGTAGCGTTCTCTCTTGTTTGATATATATTTTGTTTAGGGTTCGTAAAATATGTTATTCTCTATATTAATTTTGCTTTTGCTATTACAATAACTTACCAAATGTTAAAAAAAATACAATCAACTTAAAAAAATGATGAGGTTATTAAAAACTAGACACTAGAGATGTCTGTTGGGGAGATCAATAGGTTGCGGTCTTCTCAGCCACATACATACTATAGTATGTATAGTATTTATATGGAATCCGAATTGCGATTGCCTATCTCAATCACTACTGCTGCTGCAGTGTTAGGAGCTACTGTATTGCATTGAATCTTTATACCGAGGCTGATATTGGACGGACAAAAATAATATTTGAAGACCGAACATGTCAGATCACTATATTATAGCTGTCAGGAACGATCTACCATGTGATCTACCATTTTCCTTCTGGGTGTCACAAACCAAGAGTTTTTGAAATGTTTTAGAAACCAAAGTATAATAGAAAATGTTTAAATTTAAAAAAAAATGTACATAAATCTTTCATTATGCCCTTGATATTTCAGTTTGGGAAGAAGGGTTTCTGTCTCGGAAGAAAGTTTCAGAGTAATGTATAATGAAAACCAACCAGCCTCGATAGCTCACTATCCCCCACTCACTTGGCTAATAAATTACCGTTAGAAAGGTGTCAGCTGATGCCGGGAATTAAAAATATTTCATTGACGTGCTATTAATTTGTAGTCTTACAGTTGTCCAGGAGTCTTTAAGGCGGCGATAAGGTAAATTGAAGCGCTGATTTACGACGCCAGATAGTGGATATGGTGAAGTAATTGATGGGGAATGTAAAGGGGGCTTCAGTGTGTTGGTTTGCGTTTGGATTGATTTTCTGTGCAGTTGACAACTGAGGAGCGGCAAAGATTGTTGTTAAGCAATTGTGTTGTCCAATGTGGGCTGAAATTGCCAGCCATGAACCTTATTTATTAGAGCAGTGCCCCTAATTGTCACTATTGGGGGTGCAACAATCTAATCTGAGCCTAAAGAAAACAAAATTAATGTCATTGTGGGATTAGTTACTTCCTTTGTTCGTTATCTTTTTAGAAGCATTTATTTTTTCTGTTTATTAATTTTCAGTTTGTAACAAAATTATACATTTTATTGATTTATTTGCATGAACTGCTCAGCATTGCTTATGTGATTGCTAATTTGTTTTTCAAATGCAAAAATTAAATTTGTATATTAATAATATTAAAAAAAAAACAGAAAGAAAAAACCTTAAATTTATGTATTGATAATATTAATCTTATAAAAATATGTTAAGTAGGTTATAAAAATCTCTTTTAATTTTATCTAAGAAAATTGCATACTTTGTGACTAGTACATTAATTTATAAGAAATCTTCTTGTCGTACTAGGAATTAATAAATAAACAAACAAAACAATTCGCCATGTATCAGAATTTTGTTAAAATTATAATTATGCTGGCCCAAACGGTTACAACTAAGAGAAATAAAATAGTTGTGCGCGCTCTAGACAAAAAACCCTTCGGACAATAAAAATCATCAGTTAAAAAAACAAGTGGAGAAGCTAAAGTCGGGTGTAATACATATGTGCATATGTACTTGCGTCTATGCGAGTGTATGTATGTCTATGTGCGTCTATTCGTGTCTGTGTGAGCATGTTTGCAGTCAACCAAAGCCCCAACATCAACAACAGCTGCGGGCAGCGCTTGGGCAGAAAATATATTTATGTCTGTAACTTCTTGTTAAATCGGTCTATTATATTGAAACTTGGCATCCGGACACATAATCATTAACTGGGGGTATTTGCAGAATTTGAAATTTCAAAATACACATGTTCTGCGTATTCACATAATGCATCTTGGACTAGGGACTTTGGTGTCCCTAGGTCTTATAGTCTCTGAAACATAAGCGATTACATTTTTCAGCTCCCTATTACATTTTTCAGCTCCCGCAAACCTAATATACTATTATTATTTTAAAAAATTCTCAATGATTAGTTTTACCTCAAAATCCAATGATTTTTTTCTCTTCTAGTCTAGTTCTCTTCTTTTCAGGACATCTGTTCGATGGACATATGTAAGTTAAAATATAAATATAAGTAAAGCACAAATACATTTTCCCACTAACGTGACGAACATTAATTGTGAACATCATTTGAGAGAAATGAGAGAAAGATAATGGAAACGGACGAAAATACAATTTTGGTATTAATGATAAGTCAAGTATGTAAGTATGTATTGAGAAACAAAAAGAATAAAGAAATAAAGAAGCACAGTATGTGGATGAAAAAGTGGTTCTTGAAGCGAGAGAAATTCGCCTACACGAAACTCTTGAAGGGACTGAAAGAGTCCTCTCCGGTGGATTTGAAGAACTTCTTCTATCTCTATCAATTTCTTGATATTTTGTTAATAGAATATCCCACGCTTTATTGCGCAAATGCTTATTCTTATATTTCTCGTCTCATTGTGGAAGCATTCTATAAAATCGATCAATAATTGTTTGTTCATTTTCAGACGTCTGTGATTCACATACTTGTATATACTATACAAGGTTCTTTCCAAAGTAAACAGGACTTTTTGAGCGCCCCCTGGTGGCGCTATCTATAAATCGACTGGTGCGTTAGAATCTGCTATCATTATCGATTGTCCAGTGAGAATTTCATGACATTTCATCGATTGGAAGTGAAGTTTTTGCGTTTTAAGTGTCAGTATGTTTGTGTTATCGGTGCGAAAATGAGCTTCGAATAAAGAGCCTTTTTTTTTTAATAGTTTAGTCTATATTTTGGCGCACTGGCCATAAAATTTGATTTACAATAACTTATGTTAAATACAAAAATTGGCCTTAAAGTTAGTGCATTTAGTGAGGAGGCAGCAGCGTAAATTAAACGATTTAATCCTTCCGTGGATGATTGAGTGGAGGGGAAGCGGAAAAAAGCGGAAGCATTGTGATGTAGGTGCCCCATCCCTCAAAGGAGCACCAAAGTAGTATATAATACATAACTTATGTAATTACAAAAGACTTAATATTAGGGTCACAAAGTTTGCATAAATGAGAGAGAGTATATAAATATGAACATTATGAGCGATTTTTGCATTTGAATAAAGAACAGTTTAACTATATGCGATTAAGAATTTACAAAATGTTAAATTAAGAATTTATGTAAGAGTGAATTTAAATAAGAATTGTGTAAAAGCTTAAATTTTTACTTAAATTTTAGGATCGACGAGTAAGCAGAACCAGGATTGGAAGCGGAAACAGGAGCTCCAACGGTTGTAGTAGCCGATTATCGGGTGCCCGGTTCAACCAAGGACAGAGCCGCCTTGTGTGGGCCGAGGAATCCGAGCCGTGAGGCGTTAATTTGTTTAGCGCCATGCGGATTAAATTCCGGATGCCATGGGAAAACGTGTAAGTTGCCGAAGCCAGAGTAATGGCCATAGCTGACCCAGGTGAGTTTAATTGCATGATGATGAGTAGGCAGAAAGGATAGCTGCATGGATTCCTTTGCTCCGCTATGGATACTCCAAGTGTGGTGTCAGCAGAGTGCACGAGTGGTTTCAACGTTTTCAAAGTTGTCGTGAGGACATAAATGACGATCAACATGTGGGCCAATCAAAATTCGTGATCACCGAACCGATCACCTGATATGGCACCGTACGACTTCTACCTTTTCGAAAAAATGCATTTGCCCATGAAAGGGCATGCTTTTGGACATGCTTGTGCAAAAAGCTGTCTTGAAGCAGAAGGAGACTATTTTGAATAAAATAAATTGATTTGGCCGAAAAAACTATTTGTTCTGTTTTTGTTTAAAAAGTCCTGTTTACTTTGGAACACACCTTGTATTCTCAAGAGATGCTTGGACAACACTGCCAACACTGTAAGATAGAAACATTTCTTTGCTGTGCAGCAAAACGTCGAGCATTTAAATTCATCCGAGCATCCCCACTAACGTCGAACATTTCGTCGAGCACAACAAGTTCAGCCAACAAGCTCTCCTGTGGATGGGGGAATTAACCCTGATATAGCTCAGCATTCTACTATATTTGACTGATTGCTGTTGTTTCCTGAAATTATAATAATAATACTTTGTTTACGTTAGGTCGAATGATTAATATTACATATACATATAAAAAACATGAATATTAATTCATAACCTTTAAAATGT